CCCCTGGACCATGCGACAGGAACACGACATGACATTGACACGACAACAACTGACAGACAGCACTGACATTTTACGGACGTGCAGTGACAGAAGACGCCTTCAAATTTGGGAAAGCATATTCATTAACGAACTCTCTCCGGCCTTAAACAGACAGACAAATTCTTGCAGAACTCTTGAGCTACTAGGTGGTGGGCGGTGAGCACTTCCGATGTGATTGTGACAATAGTGTTCCCATTGTGTCTTTGTGATGTTCCCATTATGAGTGTTTCTTACATGTATGAAGATGAAAATAGCAATCCGTCTTACTTCAATTAGTTGTGCTTCATTTATGTTCTCCGTACTAAAAGATGTTTTCCAACAGTAGTGCACAATTTTTTCATCCTTTAGAATTCAAAACTTATTTCTTGTGCAATTGAGTCTTCTCCGAAGATGAGATAAGATCTCGAAACGTTAGAATGGAGGGAGTGATGAATATATGAGTAATTTTGTGCGAACCATCTTTAATCTAAGCGATGACGCAAAGTCAAAGGCCCGGAAACTAGAACGATGCATCAAAAACCTCGCATATATATATATATATATATATATAATATATATAATATATCATGTATATATACACATATATATATATATATATATATATATAATATAATATATCATATATATATATATATATATACATCATATATCATGTATATATACAATATATATATATATATATATATATATATATGTGTGTGTGTGTGTGTGTGTGTGTGTGTGTGTGTGTGTGCATATGCATACATCTATATATACCCTTAGGATGAAAAAATCCTGTTGAATATTCGATCTAGTCGCACAATATTCGGTTCAAATCAGATGAGCAGTTCTCTTATGCGCGGAAACTATGGCGCTAGGGAGACCTTTGGTGGATTTTCTTCTTCTTTATTTAATAAATTTGATCCGAACCCTTTGAATGGATGGATTTCTGGGATCAGCGCTCACGCTAAGCAATGCTTGTTGTGTGAACCCTGACCCCAACCATCCGATCGCGCAATTCCAGGCAACGGCAGAATTTAGTGGCGAAAGCTTAACGTGCCGCAATACTAGGCACGGTCCGACCTGCCTTCTGACGTCAACTGATCTTTAGCGCGACCGCTGCCACCGGCCGCAGGCCATACCTGCCAAGGGCAAATAGCGAGCGCCCTAAAGCGACTCGAACCCACCCTGCTGTGGGTGGATGGATCGGAGTGCAGGCGCTCTAACCAACTGCGCCACCGGGACGGACATGCTGACACGCGGACGGACGTGCGGACGGATTGAGCTCAAATACCCGTCAGGCATGTCTCAGATACTGCTGGAAGCCCAGATATGACTGTCCGACATGCCGGGAGATGTCTGTTAAAAAAAATGAAAAACTGAAGGGGCTGGCATAGATCCTCCAACCAATTTTGGTGAATGTTGATTTCAAGTTTCGGGCATTCCACAAATTTGATCAAAGCGTGTTTTTTTTAGAGAGAACGAACGCCACTGAAAACCTCCGCTACCATGTGACCGTATGCGCTACACATGCTGCTACGTAGCTTTCCAGCCAGTTTACTCCTTCTCGAATTGACATAAATGGATCACTTTGGCTTAAAACTTTACTCAATCACCTTACGACGAATTTCATTTTAATTAACTGCGCGTGCCCGTAGGCCTTTGATCGGCTCAGCCAATTTCATCCCATTCTATCCATTTTTATATATGCGGCATGGGTTGACATCGCATAACACAAGACAATTTCACACCCTAAAAATTTCCCTCTGATCAATATTGGCACGAAGCCATCTCTACGGGCGGCAACAAACAAGGAAAATAGTTGTGCTCCTCCAAATAAATAAGCATGCCATAACTGAATGTCCAAGCCAGGCCGCGTTTTGTTTCGACAGCACGTTGCGTGACTGAAGACACGTCCGAGGCGGGTGCTGACACGACCGTTTACAACGCCGTGAATTCGTTAAGCGTTCCAGAAGGGCCCTGCATCTCTCGTGCGAGTTGGCGCGAAAGTTGTGCACAAATGTTGACGGTTGGTCAGTTTTCCCAGTCGTGCCCGTCCCCCAAACTGGCACGACATGGTCTGGTCGACGCCGGCCGCAAGCGAAGGCTTGACCATAGTTTCCGGGTCCACCCAGAGTTTGAGGACCCATTGGGATCGGAAGGCAAACAGAAAAGTGGTGTTTGAGCTAGCGGACCGTTTTGAAAACGCAAATAAATTCATTTCCGATGAAGCGTTTATTCATGTTCTTGTCATATTGACCCTAGGCTTGTGTATTTTGCACATAAAACATTAGCTTAATTTCAGATAAGTAAAGATCGACACCCGCATGCACACTATGCGGGTCAGCCGTGTCAGAAGCGGGCAGTTTCGTCGAGATGGTGTTTGCAAAATCATCGTTATTACTTATACCGGAAATGCGTCGCTGGAGCCTGACTTATTGCAATATTGGACTGTAATACGTTTTTGAGTGGCCACGAGCTTAAAGACACGAGCCACAAGCGTCAAAAATTGCATAACACGTCATCGTGGGTAACAACAGCCGAAGACGATCGACACCACAAGCCGGGGGCCAACTCATTCCTCATCACGTCACCTCGAAAACAATCATCAAAAAAGACAGTAGCCTTTTACGCTGCAATGGGCGTTTTATTATACTGCTTGAGTGAAGAGAAAACGTTTCAGGGAAGTGTCATGGAGCGGTGTCAGAACAGGGCGCAGTTAACACTCTGCCGAGGAGGGCGGTCAAGACTTGGCCGAATGGGACATCAGCTACACCCCAAACACTCCTCAGACCCGTCTCGATCTCGGTCAAGTCAATTCCGTTCGACAGACAGGTCCTTCACTTGACTTCAGCCTGATCAATCTTTGTAATCCCTCGACGCGTTGGCGACTGCCGGAATATTGAGCTGTTCGTTTCATCTCATGCTTTGAATAGGGTAAGCCTTTTAGTTATGCCACTGTGTCGGCGGCTTTGGTATTATCGTAGCGAATCTTGCTTACGAGGAGGTCGCCATGCGGCCACTAGCGCGTGAATGTAGCCGGCTGCCGCTGCGGCCCAGGGGCTGTCGAGTCCAGCCAGTGAGCTGTGCCGTTTCACTGATTTACAGCCTAACAGTGGTGCGCGGCTACGGCCACGTTGCTCTGCTCCATTGCTGTTATCTACCGCCCATGACACGCTGTGGGATACAGAAATGCATAGAATCATCATTGAAACGGCATTTCATCAGACGAAAATAGCTTTGGCAACATAACGTTCTCCAGTTTGAACGCTGCTGCATTGGAGCTCCAGTGCGTTTAAGGGGCTCCGAGTGTCACCAGCTGCTGAACTGCCGATGCTCTAAAACCCACTGAAGCTGTCAGGTGTTACCAAGCGCGGGCAGCACAGAACGCGGCTCCGCAGCGCAGTGGTCGGCCCGTAGTCTCAAGGCTTTGGTCTGGTGGTTGTGAATTTTAGGCCGGGCACGCTGCTCCAGTACATTTGCCGTCTCGT